GTAAGGACTCAGGGGCAAAAAGTTAATGGAAGCAGCTCATTCCTGCTATCCTTGCAGGGAAAATTAAGAGCATCTCTGTGGCTTCCCAGGCACTCATGGACCTGGAGATCCATCCTGCATCCCTTGGATACAGACACTTTTGCTGGTTAGAGAAAAAAAGGGAGTAAGATGAGGTAGATGTTTCTGGATTCAAATCCACCAAATTTGGCAACTCTTGGAGGAGGAATAGAGAAGCAAATGTTTCAGGGGTGGTAAAATTGAAGCAATTGGATTACAAACCGATTGCAATCCTGCTGATCTCTCTTCTGCATCCGCCACATGCTGATTACAGCTGCAATGAGAAGCACTGAGGGCTTTTTGCTAGAAAAACTCTTTGCATTCACATACAATACAGAAAAATTTCAACTTGCTACTGGCTGATGTACAGTTGATACAGAAGAGGCACGTGTCATTCCTGAGCAGGCAGCAATGTAAAGGGAAAGCTCATGTGTTAATGCAACACCAATGGTTTTGCCACTGGTTGTGTCTTCTGGTATCTGCATAAGGTGTTTTATTACTGCTGCTAATGTGCAGCTGGCAAACGGAGACACAGAGGATTCAGTGACCAACTAATATATGGAAAAAGAAGAGTCAGGAGCTCATCAAATAGTTGCTGCCTTCTCGGCACACAAACAAACTCAACAGCACTCCACTCCAAACAAGTTCTGGCTGAAGGATATGCCACGTAACCCTCTGCTGCTCCTAATCAGAGAGAGAATTATGTGTGTTTGTGGTCAAGGTGGTCTATCCTGGGACGTATATTTCTTAGTCATTGTCACATGGGTTAATTTATCTTTAGTAATTAATTTCTGTGCCTTGGAGCAGTGAAGCGCAAATAAGCATTTAACATTGATCTATTGCAGCACTTCCCTGGGTAAATAGATGGCTCTGGTGTTGGATGATGCTGATGCATCAGTGTCTTCTATGATCAGAGGAATCACTGAAGCATCAGCTCAGCCACAAGCCAAAAAGCATGTCTAAGCTTTTAAAACCAAAATCAGGGAACACATCTTCTCCAACCTGCTCATGCTCTGGAAGACAACAGCAGCATTTCCCCCCTACCGCTCTGAGGCACAAACTCAAAGTGCTGCCAAGGTGGGGATCATATCAGAGAGAAACACAGAAGCTTGAAGACTAGGGCCAGCAAAAATGTCCTTTGTTTCTCTGAACTTCATAATTGCTTGTGTTCAGGTTTTACAGCCACTATGCAACCTGTATGTCCAGTTCAGGACCATAGGCTGCTCCAATTAACCTGTTGCCAGTTTTCAGGCAATTACACATGATTATATATGCTTTCTTTTTAGATGCAAGAATATAACGTCACAAGTCTAGAAAGAAGGATCTGAAATAAATCTGTCAAGTCAGGAGTACAACGATGGCACCGCAGACTGAAAAAAGTGATGCAGGAACACAGGGCCCTGATAGCCTGACCTCAGCTGTGGGGCTGCCTTTGGTGCAAAAGCAGAAGGAAACTTTAAGTGAAGTTGAAATGAAAAAGAGAGTGTAATGCACCACGGGGTCCTCAGACATGGCACAGGTCATGTTGGATGAGCTCTTCTTTGGGAAGATTATTTACCTATTTACTTACTAACACTGAAAAAATCCTACGGTTCTAATCTTTTCTGTCTTTAAATAAGGATGGCGTAAGGTGCCACATGGGGCATAATTATTTCAACAGCAGCAGCAATGGCTCTTTAAAGGAGTGCCCACTTTAACCCGAGCTCATCGATGGGACCGCCAGGGAAAGACAAACATATGCTAGTTTAGTCCCAGTATACAGGACAGATGCAGCTATACAGTGTCTGTCAAAAATGAGCAAAGGAAATAATTTTCATTATAAGGAAAAGACATTCACTGAAAAGAATGGGTATAATAGTAGCTAACCTACACGGAACAGAAGCATATATAGTAATTAAAAAAAGCATTATTATTAGACCAATGACCTCAAGTGTATGTATACCAATGCACAAGCCTGGGGAACAAACAGGAGGAACTAGAGCTCTGTGCCCGGTCAGAAAGTTATGATATCATAGGAATAACTGAAACATGGCACGACAAATCACATGACTAGCGAATCATGATGAGTGGCTATAAGCTGTTCTGTAAAGCCAGGCAGGGAAGAGGTGGAGGAGCTGTGCTCTATGTTAAGGAGAATCTTGACTGTATAGAAGTCAGCTATGGTGATTGTGGAAGCCTTACAGAATACCTCTAGGTCAAGATCAGAGAGGTCATCTCCAAGGGGTATCTTACACTAGACATCTGCTACTGACCTCCAAACAAAGATGATAAGGCCAATTTAGGTCACTTAAGCAAGCTTCAGGACAACAGAACCTTGTTCTTATGGGCAACTTCAACTACCCAGATATTTGTTGGAAGAACAATACAGAAGCTCACACATTATCCATCAAGTTCCTGGAATGCATAGAGGACTGCTTCATCATACAAATGTTAGATGTGCCAACCAGAAATGAAGCACTGTTGGACTTACTACACAAACCAAGAAAACCTGCTTTGTAATATCTCGGTTAGCAATAGCCTTGGCTGCGGCAATGGCAATATTATGAGTTTGGCATCCTGATGAGAATTCTGGTGGTTAGTACTAACACAAAGGTTTTAGATTTGAGAAGAGTAAACTTCAGCTAGCTTAGAGCTCAGCTGGGAGGGATTCCATGGGAAGCTTTCCCTGAAGGATAAAGGAGCCAACAAGATCTGTGAGTTTTTCAGAAATGCTCTCCTGGAAGCACAAAAAGAGTTCATCCCCTTTAAAGGTAAGGGAAGTAGGTGGAGCAAGAAACCCCCCTGGATTAACTGAGCTTCTGAGTCTGCTCAAAACCAAAAGAGAACCGTACTAGAGATGGAAAAGTAGACAAATACCCATTGAGAACTACAAAGACATTGCCAGGGCATGCAGTTAGAAAAGCAGAAGCCCAGCTCAAATTGAAATTGGCCAGAGATGTCAAAAACTACAAGAAAAGGTTCTTCAAGCACATAAACAACAAGCAGAAACAGAAGGAAAATACTGGCCCAGTATTTACTGGTGAATTAGTCACCAAAACCACCAAAAAGTCAGAGGTTCTCAACATTTTCTTCACCTTTGTCTTTACCAGCACTGTTGTGTCCCAGGCCTTGGGAACAAAAATCCAGGTCGGCAGAAACACAGACCCACCATCAGTGAAGGAAGAGTTGGAATGTGAACTGTTACAGGAGCTTGATCCCTACAAATCGATGGGCCCTGATGTTATCCAACCAAGGGTGGTAAGAGAGCTGGCTGACACCATTACAAGGCCATGCTCCATAATCTTTGAGAAGTTGTGGAAATCAGGGGACACCCCAGAAGACTGGAAGAAGGCTAATGTCACCCCTATTTACAAGAAGGGCTTAATGGAGGTACCAGGAAATTATAAATTTTACTTAATTCACTGGGAAAGTCATACAAGGAATCCTCCTGAGGCCTACCACAAGTCAAATGAAACACATGATTGGGAAAAGTCATCATGGATTCACCAAGTGCAAATCACGCTTACAAATCTGACACTTTCTATGACAAAGTAACCTGCTCAGTTGATGTGGGACGAGCAGGGGACATTGCCTGGATTTCACCAAGGCTTTCAATATGGTTCCCCACAGTCTCCTCATAGAGAAGCTGATGTGTTACAGTCTAGACAAGGGGTCTGTGTGGTGGGTGGGGAGCTGGTGGACTGACCACACCCAGAGGGTGGTGGGAAATAGTGGGAAATAGCTCCTTTTCCAACCTGTCACACGTGGGGTCCCCAATGTAGTTTAATCTCTTCATAAGTGACCTGGATGATGGTATCACGTGTACCTTGATGAAGTTTGCTGATGATACCAAACTGGGTGGGGAGGTGGACGCTGCGGAAGGCAGAGGCACCCTGCAGGGACACCCGGATAGGCTGGAAGAGGGGGATAACAAGAACCTTATGAAGTTCAACAAGGATGTGTGTAAAGTTTTGCACCTGGGAATACATAATCCAGGAACGGAGCACAGGCTGGGATCTACCTAGCTGGGGAGCAGCTTTGTGAGAGGACCTGGGGACAACAAGCTCAATATGAGAGAACAATGTGCTGCTGCAGCAATGAAAGCCAACGGGGTGCTGGGCTGCATCAGCAAGGGCATCCCCAGCAGAGAGAAAGAAGTCATTGTCCTAGTCTACTCAGCCCTTGTCAGGCACCACCTGGAATCCTGTGTTCAGTTTTGGTCCCGCTATACAAAAAAGATGTGGATGGGCTGGAGAGGGCCCAGAGAAGGGCCACAAAGATGATCAAGGGACTGGGCAGCCATGGGAGGAAAGGCTGAGAGAACTGGGTTTGAGAGGAGACGGCTTGGGGAGACCTTATCACCGTGTTCCAGTATTTAAAGGGTGGGTACAAAGAAGATGGAGACTCCCTTTGTACAGGGAGTCATGTGGAAAAGACAAGGGGTAATGGGTACAGGTTACTCCTGGGGAGATTCCAATTGGACAAAAGAGGGAAATTTTCCACAATGAGAACAATCAGCCACTGGGATAATCTCCCCAGGGAAGTGGTGGATTCCCCAACACCAGACACTTCTAAGATTCATCTGGACAAGCTGCTGGGTCATCTCATTTAAGCTGTGCTTTTGCCAAGAAAGGTTGGACCAGATGATCCTTGAGGTCCCTTCCAACCTGGTGTTCTACGATTCTATGATTATTATACACAAGGTAGTGTGGACTATAAAACACCCATTAATCTAGAAATAAATTATAGACACTAAAATCTGTTAGAGCTGGGATAGTTTTTCACTTAATTAAATGTGTTGTTATTATTTTGTAGGAAAGTGATTTATTCTGTGATACCTAATTATTTCTTTGAAAAAGTTGTATGTTCATCTTTATAACTGTGAAATTAAAAACAGACCATAAAGTCTCACTTTGATTGAGATACTCTTCCAGAATATGAAAATAAATATTAATTCAGTGCCTATTACCTGGATACACTAGCCTGGATACACTGGCTCTTCTGCAACCATATTTAATAAAGTGCACTTTAAAAACCTATTCCTTCTTGCCACAGGGACTAAGAAGCATTAGATGCTTGTAGTGCTCAAAAATTATCCCAGTTCTCCATTTGAGGTATAAAACTGGGCTGCACAAATTCAAAGTGGCTAATTTTATCATGACCCCAAAAATGTGTAGCAGTTGGAAAATTATTTCTACACAGCTATTAGGTCCATTGCCCTCATTCAATATCTTTTCTTTTGCTGGTTAGATTGGAGATGGAGAGGACTTAAAATTGCTATTTATGATCCTGTCACTGAATCATTTTATAGCAGTGGGTAAGTTGCAGTAGTCAACATTCAAAATTTGGGTATTTCAGTTTATCAACTTAAGTCCTAATTTTCAGGCACGTTTTCGTTTTTCAAGGCTGCAAAAATGCTCACCAGCATCTGTGAAAATCAGATCACTAGAATGAGTTCCTAAAATAGAAGTAAGTACTAGACAGCTAATTTCAGGTGCCCTCATTTGGAGATGGTCTCACACTTTCAGCTATGTAGAACCAGTTCTAATTGCAGTTTAACAGGAGCTCCTGATTTTATGAAAGAACTGACACATCATAAATATATGGTTTAAAAAACCTTCTTACCAATTTTTCTGATGTTTTTCTTCCCCCGGATTTGTTTTAGTCTGGCACCTCCTGCTTCATTTGAACTTTCACATTTTTTTTCCCCTCTCTGGCACTTTCCCTCTTGAGATCTCCAAAGCACAAGGAAAAGAAGTGAAAAACTGTCACGGTTGGACTTCCAAGCCTGTGTGGTATAAAGAGAGTCACAATTAGGCAAAACCAATTGAGGGTCTGGTGAATTGATGAATAAAACATGCTTTGATCAAAGAATCTACCTAAGTGCAAAGTATCATTATAATGTAGCTTGGGTGGAAAAACGTTTCTTTCCTCAGACAAAATTTCTCAGAGCCAGAAAAGCACTTTCAGACTACTATTACTGAAATAACCATCAAGGCATTCAGCAAAGTAGTTATCCACCTCAAAAATACAGGTTATCAAATAAAACTCCATTTCCAAGTATTTCAAACATGGAATTTTCTCAACTGCAAATTCAAAGAGAAGCAGATGCCTAGGAACCTTATTATCATTCGAGGAGTTATTAAAGAATAGAAATCATAAAGAGAGAGTATGATAGCAGATCAGGTTGAAAAGTACAAACCACTTTTTTTATTTCTTGACAAGTCAGGTATCAAAATAAATTAACTTCAGGCACATTCACATCAGTTTTCATCAGCTTTCTCATAAGACTTTTATTGGCGCAAATGATCACAGGAAGCAAACTTCACGCTGAAAGTGCTCTACCCACCTCTGAAGGGTAAGTTCATTAGGAAGGATTAATTGTAGGAAGGCATTATCTCATTTGAGAGGTCTTTTTCATGTCAGCACTTAATAATGTTCACTCTATTCGAGCTAACTCGGGAGTGCAACTTTCCACTGTCGTTCTGAATAGGCAAAACACCAGTCTCTCGTGTCAACTATTTTTATTTCCATTGTAACGAAACAACCACCCTTTACTCAGTGATCAAGGAAGATAGATGCCACAGTAAAGGACAGAAAATGAGGTACCGGAGGTTCAAAGGACACATTATATCTGCTGATGTGACCTCCTTTTGCTCAGTGAACTTACCGACGAGCATCTGGACTCAGACGTAGAGGGTAGACTACAGCCTTGTGCAATGCTTTGTGCCAGAGCCCTGCAGTAGCTGAGACCAACTTCTGCCGTTAACAAAGAGCTTTAGTCACTTTTTGGGCATTGTGAAGGCCCTGTGCAGATTCATCACTGAATAACAGCCTGCAGGAGAGATGCATTAAATCACATTTTTTTTATAAGCATCTAAAAGCATTGCCTCCTGTTGAAGTCATCTGAGCATCTCTACTTAGGTCTGAGCAGATTTAACACATTTGTAGTTGTTGTTAAAGGAGAAAGAAAAGAAAGCTTCCAACTCTTTAAAAAATGAAGGGTTTGATGCCAGTGCTGTATTTCTGCTTGTTCTGCAGCTGGTCCTATGAAATTTGCTGAGGGTTGGGTCTTAACGTTTTTTGAACAAATGCCATTGCAAAACGCTTGTTTTGTATTTGGCCAAGAATTTGAAGCAGGATGGTTCTCCTGTACTGTGATGGCAGCATCAGCTAAGGTTTTGTAGATACTGTTATTTCCTTCTATTTTGGATAAAATTTAACCGACATGCGAAATACTTTCGGAAGAAAAATACAATAAAGAGCTCAGGATTTTCTATTACAAGAGAAACCTGCCACCTCTGAGACTTTCTGATTGTTCCTATTCTAAATCTTGATGTACTGTGTTTATGAACTTCCCCAGTTTGTTATTTCTCCAGCTGAAAGGGGGCTGCAGGGCTGGCGTCCGTGCGGAGGTGCAGGAGCTCCCCCGTGTCGGTGGAGCCAAGGCCAGGCGGCTCCGAGAGGGACCCGCCGCTGGCCAAGGCCGAGCCCATCAGCCACGGCGGTAGCGCCTCTGGGAGAACGTGTCCGAGAGGGGGAAAAGCTGCTGCACAGCAGCCCCTGCAGCTGGAGAGAGGAGCGAGAGCCTGAGAGAGCAGCAGCTGTGCGGAGCCCGGGGCAGCGGGGCAGAGGGGCAGGAGGGGCTCCAGGCCCGGAGCAGAGGTTCCCCCGCAGCCCCTGGGGCAGCCCCTGGGGAGGCAGCTGTGCCCTGCGCCCAGGGAGGCCCCGGGGGAGCAGAGACCCCCCTGCAGCCCGGGGGGACCCCACGGCGGAGCAGGGGGATGTGCCCCGAGGAGGCGGTGACCCCGTGGGCAGAGGGTGAGGAGTCCTCCCCTGAGGAGGGAGGAGCGGCAGCGACAGCGGGTGAGGGACTGAGCACAGCCCCCATGTTGTGGGCAGGTATTTGAGAAGAATCCCCAGGGAAATCCATGTGGAAATCCTCTTTCACAGGCGCACCCTGGCATGAAAGAGGGCTGAAACAAATGTTGGGGGGGAAATAGGAAGGAATTCTGAAAGCACACAAATAGAAAAGCTTACAAGATCAAGCTGTTTCCTTCCACCGCTGAACCCAGCTGGGTCATGGGAGGCCCAACAGGAGCGATGGGGACTTGCACAGGTGAGAGGTTTCTTGCTGGTTCAGCGCACTGACAACATTTCAGCGGAAGAAAAGCCATTTCTTTCCAAAGTGCAAAAATGTGAGCGAGAGAAAAACCTTTCATCTGTTCTGCATTCAATCCCAGTCCACACACGCTGCAAGTGCTTGAATTGCAATTAATAATGTCAGATCCTTTTACACTTTTAGAGAAGTTATTTATTATTACTATTGTATTGGCATGACACCACCTCAGTAATAAAGCCTCTCACTTACAGTGATGGATCTAGCCTCATGACCTTCCTGCAAGGAAAGGAAGATTTTAAAGATGGAAAACTGGGGCCCAGCAAGATGAAGTGATTATGGCCAGACTGAGGAAGCCTGTGGCAGGGCCCTGTGCAAAATGCAGCTCTCCTGGGAACAGGGACAGCCCTTTATTACAAAAACCAACTTCCCTTTGCATGCTCACATTTAAATGTTTCTCTGTTGAATAGCCAAGCAAGAAGTTTTTAATACCAGATACTCTCTGTGATTTCTAGCCCGATTTTGGAAGCAGAAGATGACAGACTATTTTGCAGTCGGCATGTACATGAATGTTAATGGCAGATTGGGGAGCAGAGTGTCACAACAGGAGTCACAGCCAGCCCTGACAAACCTGGCGTATGGGCTTTTGAAGGAGGCACGGATCACCTAGCACAGAAGCAAAGTCCTGCCCAAACTCAGCCCACCAAAGAGTGGCATCCTGCACCACAATGCTAGTGCTCTGCCTTCAGAGCAACTTAAATTTAATAATAAAATTACGATACCCACTGGAAAAAAATTCTATAAGCAGCCACTGACAGCCAACAGCCAACCCACCAGTTCTGCTTTGCCAACTGTTAACTGTCAGCTGGAAACATACTTGGTGTCACCATGATGAGCTCATATGTTTCTCCCCAGGGAACTGAAGCGTGTGATGGAAAAAAATTTTCCTCCATCTCTTCCCCTTGTAACGTTAGGGAGCCTCTCCTAGCCAGCTCCCGGTGCCCACCTCTTGTCTTCCAGGCCATTGGCACTGGGGCTTGTAAGGGTTGTTTGTCCTCCTTGCTGGTTTCCTTCTTCACCCTGCTTTTACTCCTTCATGAGACCAAGAAGGTGGTGACTCTATGGTGAAGCAGGTGCCGTCCAGTCCGTAGCAGCCCTGAAATGAAGAGCAGAGCTGAGCTGTCACGTTTGTGGAGGCCAGATGGTACTCACATTAGAGGAATTTTTTTTTTTAAAAGAGATGCCTTTCACCAAGATAAAAAACAACTCTGGAGAGGCACTTGAAATGGATTTATTTGTTGTCTATCTTTGCAAAACATGTGGAAAAAAATTAGGCAAATTAATGTTGAAAGGCAAGGAGGAGGTATGATTGCCCAGATGCAGCCTTCAGTGCAGGAAATTCTCAACCAAAAGGCAGGGGAAGAAAAAGAAAGATGTCGTAAAAATGTAACTACTTTCTCTATTTCCTACTTTCCTTCCCTCCCTAGACAGGACGGGATTCTGGTCACAGTGGAGTTTTTATTTGAGTCTAAGTGAAATCTCATATATTCTTATAGTTTTCAGGGACCATTGTGACACATAAATAAATAAGATCCCAGTACCAGTAGAAATGCTAATTATGTTCAAAAGCAATTTGTGGCTGAGTGATGGAATTGAAAGTTTTCACAAGAGAGAATTTGGGGACTGTATTTGCTGGGTGTGAGCTATGTGTACACAGACCTGAAATACAGCTCTCCCATACAGAAGAGAAAGCAAGAAATTTATTTTCCCATTATACCTCTACCTGGCTTTGTACTATAGGTTATATTAATGTCCTTCGTTTAAAATTTCAAAAGCATCAGAAATTTTATTAAACATTAAACAATGGTTCAGGTATAATTTATACAAAGTGCAGTGAAGGTACGCTCTGGGAGTGCTTGTTTTTTAAGGCGTTTGTAATTGGGTGAGATGCTCCTTGTAAAACACCCAGGCAAGCACCTGTCATTTGTTTTGTGTCACATTAGGCTCTGAAGCAAAAAATCTGCATTAACATTTGGCAGGAAATGCAAGTGAGTCACTATTGGAGGTTGACCACAACCCCAAATCCCCTAAGCACAGGAGGAAGAGTTTTCCTTAATTTGGCTGCCTTGAGATAAGGCCATGGAGAGCAGGGGGCTCTGTTGGAGAAGGGAGCTGGGAAGGGTGAGACTTTGGAGGCAAGAGGAAACAACTAAATAAATTCAGGAAGGACATAGGCTGAAATTTGTACTTGTGGCATTGTTATTTTTAAGCATGTATAAAAACAAATCCCAGCATGAGGGGTTAAATTTGGGTGAATAATTTTTAGACTGAAAGGTATTCACAGTTGAGTTGTTTGTTTATCCAGCCTTAATTACTTTTGCTTTGCATTGGATCATATGAGTCATGGGGATTTCTTTGCATCCCAAAGTAGATAACCAATATGTAAAATTGGAGAATAACTTGCTGATAGTAAATAGTGGAGAATGTCTGTGAGTTAAATGTATTAAATCTGTAGAACTTCATCCAAGTTTCCTCAAATATCAGTCGCTTTTCCCAAATAACAAATTACATGATTAGCACAAGCATGACAAACCAAAGTCAACATTTAGCGACATGAAAACATCTGCAAATCAAGAGGTGGTGAACTGTTTGCTCAGCACTGAAAGTATATTAGCATTTCTTCCAGATATAATAAAATCAGAACATTCACCCTCTGGATGATCATTTAGATACCTTATAAAAGTGAAACCAGTTTGAGTTGGAAAAGCATTGCAAACTGTTTATAAGAGCAAGGGGTTCATTCTTGTTATAGTGAAGTCAATGGCAAAGGGCCCATAGACTTAAATCCTAAAGAAAACAACCCCTGGAGCAATGAGCTGTAGTCTTCCTGAATCCATAATATCATCTGTTGACAGATACATACAGAGTGATTAATAGGATGCTAAAAAATGTTAACAAAGCAATAGGGAGTTAGAGACTGCTCTGAAAATTTCTTTATCACATTTCTAAATTCACCAGAGGTACCATCATTTCAATGTATGACAAAACATATGTTTTCTCTACAAACTTGCTGGCAGGTCTAACTGAAAATGTCATCAGAATATTGGGAAGTCACTAGTGGAAATGAAACTCCTGTTCTTCTCTTCCCTGTTCCTTCTTGGAGATGAGAAGAAAAGCCCCGCTGGGATCTGGCCACCTTGCACGTTCTACAAACTCTCTTCAGACCCAAGATCTTTCCAGCTGTAGCTTGTACTCCAAACATTTATCTTAGGGGGATATTTTTTTTCTTTTAACAAGAAATTAAAGGAGAATGGGGGATTAACAACACATTTCCTGAATTCTGTAACAGCTGCTTTAGCTAAAACCAGCAGCCTTAAATAACATGGTGCAAGAGGGCTGGCCTACAATCCCCTCTGTGTGTCTAGGCTGCAGCCTCGGCTCCCATACCAGGCTGACCACATGAGCATATTTGTACTAGAGGGATAAGCTGTCAATTTATTTCTTTTCCCATTTTAGGACTGACTGCAAGGAACTTTTGCATTGGTAAGGGTGCTCTTTAAGACAGGAAGAAACCAGTGGCAGAAGGAGATCTTTGCTTTGTGATTTCTGAAGGGCATCTGAATTTTAGCATTTCCCAGCAGAACTGGGCTGGCTGACAAATGTAGCAGAAGCACAGAGAACCAGTGTTATTAAGGGTGTCTGTGAGTCTGGGTGACTGCCCCTGGGTAAGAAAGAGCCAGAAGGAACCTCCTCCAGATGTCTGTCTGTCCCCAGCCAGCCTGGAGCTACTCTGCTGGGACAGGACAAAGCACTCACGGCACTGCCAGCTTGTTTACTAGTACCATCATCCCACTGTGTCCATACCAAAATAAGGAGATTTCCAGGCTTTTGCTGTCTGGTGTCCCAGCAGATTGGCATGCAGCAGAGTGACCATGCACTGGTCCATAAATGTCTTTGGAGACCTAACCAGGACTCTCACCATCTAGCAAGATTTAAGTTTCTGTTGATATTTAAGTACTGGAGTTGAGTGACTCCAAGGAGAGGTGGTTAATAAAGATATTTTACACTTGGTTTAGATATTTCTTCTCAGTCTGGAGACTCTCACCTTCAAAAAATAGTGTACTTTAAAAAGTAAGGTGATGAAAAACACCTTCTTAGAGTCATGACCTGAGCCAGAAGTTTATTATTCCCATGAAGGCCTTTGTAAACTCCAGGAACATTAATATGATCCTACCACCAGTACATCGAGGTACAACCAGCAGCTTCAGGGAGATTTATCTGTCCTTTTCTGCCTTCTCTGCTGGATACAGAACATGTGGAGTTGGTTCATGTTCTGGGTCATCAAGACTAACTCCATCAAAAGATAAAAGACACTGCATGTTGAGCTTGCAGTTACTCCTGTCCTTCACATCATAAAGGTCTTTGAGAACAGTCAGTCCCTCAGGAAACACAAATTCTGTGCCTAGCAAGATCTGACAATATTTCCAAGGAAGCAGTTCTCAATCACACGTGGTTTCAGGGCAGCTGGAAAACTATTTTCTAGGCATAAGCATGACATGATTTTTCTTTGCATTTTCTAAGTACAATCTTGTGGCCACCTCTCTGACACATCTAGATCCTGCCTCAAGTTTCTTCACCCAAGGGACCTCAAGAACTAGCATCCCAAATCTGAAGACTGCAGGGCAAACCTTGGTGTCTCCATGAAAACTATTAATACAGACAGTCTACAGCTCATGACTATTGGAGATCTCACTTTAGAGCCATGCATTTTTTTTGATGTATTTATTTATGAAGAATGCATGGGGTTCCCAAAGATTTTTTTATATCTTTGATATAAGCCTCAAAACATTGAAGGGGGGGGG